TTCTATTGGCCAGGCTCCCTGGTTAGACTGCATCTCCCATGTAGCACCACAGCCTCCCCTCTTGGGGAGGGGAGGCAATGCATCACGATAGTCGCATTGTTGCAGTGTATCATGGGAGATTATTCTGGCCAGGGAGCCTGGCTCATAAAGGAGGATGAGGAAATGAGGCACTCGAACTACAGCTCCTGTGAGGCAGTGTGGCTGCATTTCAAAGTTGAAATGCCTTTGTCTTTGTTCAATAACATTTCTGGTTTTGGACATTCAGCTTTTAGTCCAGAAAAGAAAATTTCTGCAGAAAGTAGAAACTTTTCTTTCTCTCTCACAGACAGTCATTTAATAGAAAACCCAATTTTCCATCAAAAAACAATTTTGAGGGAAAATTTTCAACCAGATCTAGGTCTTCCTTATGGGACACAGTGAATATCCCCTCTTTCTTCACTAGGAATACATATCACCCATGGAGTAGGTAGGATGAACTGGGATGTTTGGGAGGCACTGAACTCTGCAGTGACTCTTGAAGGCATAATTATATAAGAACAGCTATACTGGGTCAGACCAAAGGTCCATCTAGCCCAGTATGATTCCCAACATTCTGTTCGCTTTTTTGATGTTTTCAGAGAATTATGCACAATGACTCCAATATCTCTTTCTTGAATGGAAACAGCTAATTTAGACCCCATCATTTTATATGTATAGTTGGGATTATGTTTTCCAATGTGCATGATTTTGCATCAACATTGAATTTCATCTGCCATTTTGTTGCCCATTCACCCAGTTTTGAGAGATCCTTTTGTATCTCTTTGCAGTCTGCCTGGGACTTAACTATCTTGAGTAGTTTTGTATCATCTGTGAATTTTGCCACCTCACCGTTTACCCCTTTTTCCAGATCATTCATGAATATGTTGAATAGGACTGGGCCCAGTACAGACCCCTGGGGGACACCACTATTTACCTCTCTCCATTCTGAAAACTAACCATATATTCCTAACCTTTGTTTCCTATCTTTTAACCAGTTATCAATCCATGAGAGGACGTTCCCTCTTATCCCATGACAGCTTACTTTGCTTAAGAGCCTTTGGTGAGGGGACCTTGTTAAAGGCTTTCTGAAAATCTAAGTACACTATATCCACTGGATCCCTCTGGCCCACGTGCTTGTTGACCCCCTCAAAGAATTCTAGTAGATTGTTGAGACATGATTTCCCTTTACAATAACCATGTTGACTCCTCCCCAACAAATTATGTTCATTTATGTGCCTGTCAATTTTGTTCTTTACTATAGTTGCAACCAGTTTGCCTGATATTGAAGTCAGGCTTCCCGGCCTGTAATTGCCAGGGTCACCTCTGGAGCCCTTTTTAAAAATTGTCATTACATTAGCCATCCTCCAGTCATTTGGTACAGAAGCTGATTTAAATGATAGGTTACAGACTATAGTTAGTAGTCCTGCAATTTCACATTTGAGTTCCTTTGGAACTCTTGGGTGAATACCATCTAGTCTTCTGGTGACTTATTACTGTTCAGTTTATCAGTTTGTTCCAAAACCTCCTCTAATGACACCTCAATATGGGACAGTTCCTCAGATTTGTCACCTAAAAAGAATGTCTCAGGTTTGGGAATCTCCCTCACATCCTCAACCGTGAAGACCGTGAAGACTGATGCAAAGAATTCATTTACCATAGTTTCTCCGCAATGGCCTTATCGTCCTTGAGTGCTCTTTTAGCATCTCGATCATCCAGTGGCCCCACCGGTTGTTTAGCACAAAGCAGGTCCGCCACTTGTTCAGGGAAAGCCCCTGGCGGGCCGGGCCGGTTT